CCCCCCTCCCCACTGTCCAAAATGAGATTAATTGGAGTTACCAAATTGCCCGTAGGTGTGAATGGTGTGTGAGTGTGCCCTAAAATGGGTTGGTGCCCCATCCTGGGTTGTTCCCTGCCTTGTGCTCGTAGCCTCTGGGAGAGGCTCTGAACCCTTAATAGAACACACAGTTACAGAAAATGGATGGATGAAAACCTTATGAGACACTTGGGGTGAGGTGTGTTGACATTGAGTGAGTGAGGAGACGAAGGTGGAGCTGACAGCAGAGATGACTCGAGAGATGAGGTTCAGTATTTAGAGTCACCCTCTACAGGTTGCGGACAAGAAGGACAAAGGAGCATGACATGGTCCTCCAAACTACAGCAAATGGAAACTAAGGCTTCCATACGCTGGAGTGCTGGAGTCCTGCTGCATACTGTTCCCAGTTCAGTATGGGGCTGGTGATGCCGCATGTCACACGAGGTCCTGTGAATAATCCCTGTTTAATGCTCTCTTTCGCATTACAGCTTCTAACAGGGCCTCATTAACTCCATCAGCTCCCCGCCGCAGTTCAGTAATTTATGTACCTGGTCACATTTTTGTGCCAGATTGTGTTGGTAGCTCAAAAATTAAGTGCTTTCTTAGCATTACAAGGATCTTATGATGTTACAGCAATCAATGCACTGAACGTCTCTCTCTCTCTCGCATTCTTTCTCCCTATCACATTCTATCTCTATCTCTCTCTCCCTCTCTCTCTCTCTTTCTTTCTTGCACTCACTCTCAGACTGTGCAGGCTGCAAGGAGGAGATTAAGCAAGGGCAGTCCCTCCTGGCCCTGGAGAAGCAGTGGCACGTCAGCTGTTTCAAGTGTCACACGTGTGGCATCGTCCTCACGGGGGAATACATCAGCAAGTATGTCGCCACGGCAACCCACGCAGCATCACTGGCGTTACTTGCACACCCACGTCAAATGCTTGTACACCTCCTACACAGAGAGAGAGACGAAGGCCCTGAACCCACCTGCAAGATAAGATGATCTCATCTGAGCCTAGTGTGCTCTTAACTCCTCTATAAATACTAAAACTTGCTCTTAAAAGTGGGCCAACACTTTCAAAGGGCTTTCCCACAATCCACTGCTGGGAAACATCAAGTACAGGCATATAATATGCCGCTTTACAGTGGAAGAGCTGCAGCAACTCCTTTCCTGCCCTTGGTGTTATGGAGCTGGGCTTGCACAGGGGTCACCAAAGCATTACTCGACGGCGCTTTGTGGGAAATGAAGGGCCTGCCAGGTTTTCACCCTCAATAAATGAATCTGTTGGCATCTGGCATCCTGTATCATCTCCACAGTGGCACCCGTGTGTGTTTCTGTCCTCCCAGAGACGGCGTTCCATACTGCGAGTCGGATTACCATGCTCAGTTCGGGATCAAGTGTGAGGCGTGTAACCGATACATCAGCGGGAGAGTGCTGGAGGTGAGCCCCACATGCCTCTGGGTCCGCCACACCCTGCCCTCACATCATGCACCTTTTGGTTTCGTTTGTGCCCCTGCCAGGAAGCTCACCTACCCAAGGTATGGTGCCTCTGCCTATTCTGTCATCCTGGCCTCATTAATGGTTTTCCTCTCCACCTTAACCTCCACACTCCCTCTCTTTCTGTCTCATGTCCCGGTAACTTTGCCCCTCCCATGCCCCCTCCCACTCCCAGCTCATCCTGCAGATTAGTGTGCTGGCCAGATTGAAAGTGTGGAAGTCCCCTTAACCACTGCTGCTGTCTAGTCCGTTCTGATCCAAGGGCAGCAGCCCTTTTGGTTTGGAGGTCATTGTAGCCCGTTAGCCCTTGGTTGACATTTATTGCCGGCCAATTATAGAGCTTCTCACAAGATGCCCTCAGTATGATTGGATGAACAATATTATGCAGCGAAGACATATTACAGTTTTTCTCGATTGCTAAGACACATTCCTGGAAAGCTGCTCTCCTTTTCCCTAAACTGTGAACACAAAACCAAATTTTCAAGCTACATTCACAAAACCTCTGACTCTTCTTGCAAAACCAAGCTTTCACCCCAAAACAGTTCAATCTGTGTTCAAAACTGAACTATGCTGTCAAATCATGCCTCAAGTCAA